TTTGTTTGATTTGGTTAAGCGGTTTGTTTATTATTACGAATGGACTTTTATTTCGGACTTAAAAAATATTTGGCAAGTTTAGCTTTTATTGGTGGACTTAAAACATAAAATTCCGGATTTTTAAGTTAATATTGGACTTTTTCCCAAAAAGTTCGAAAAATAAATAGAATCCAGGATTCTTGTCCTTGTTCTTTTATAACATCGAAAAAAATAACTGTTATTTTCGGCCCCTGCTTTTATCTTATTGATTTAGCCGATATATGATAGCTGGTAAGCAGATAATTGGAAATTTAAGAGTACGTTGCTTGAAAACACTTGCTAATGTTTAAAAAAAGGCGTGACTTCAGACACCACAAATGAAGCTTATCAATATCATCTTGAAGCCTAATTGCATCAGATGTGAAATATGAAATATGAAAACTTTTAAATCGTCCGCATTTTTTTTTTTATAATCACTATTTATTTCAATCTGTATTTTTACATTTAACAATTAATTTAGCTTAACTCTTAATTTTCTAACTGCGTGTGTGGAATGCACCCAATGGTACAACCACTTCGTATGCATAATCAGCTAACATTATTTAGTTAACTTTATTAATGCAGTAAATCTGTTGTTGACTTTCTCGTAAGTCAGGTAAAAATGTTTGAGTGGGATGTTAACTCTGTTATAAGTCCGAGTCCGAGTTAATCCGGATCAACGCTCTGCCGCCGCGCTGCCGTCTCAAGTTGTATCATGCAGCTTGTTTTTTATTTCTTCTGAAAGAGTGAGAATCTTGAGATCCCGGTGGAGTAGCGTATTTGTGACAATACGGTGAGTTGACAATCATCCTCAGAGTATTTAAATATTAGAGTTTGATGCTGTTCCCCACAGCTGTATACCGTAAGTCCAAATCGGTTTTTTGGTTGTTGAGTAGTATGTAGTTTGTTTTCAAGTGATAATTGAGAGTGCCGATTTATAAGCCAATATCAGCTTCTGAGTTTTAGTCCGAGTGCCTTGCGTTTTGTGAATATGTGCGTTTTCCATGTTAGTCTTTGATCGAGATACATTCCAAATTATTAGTTTCGTTGCTGTGGGGTATATATTTTTCATTAAGTTTAACCGGTTGGCAGGTGCCTCGATTGAGAGTAAATGTTACTTGAACTGATTTCGTCTCGTTTGACTTGATTCGCCAGTTTATTAGTCAATGAGTGAGTTTATTAATGCCTTTTTGGAGTTTTTGTGAAGCCAACTGGGGCGAGTTATCAACTGCTAAGATAGCAGTATCATCAGCAAAAGTACCAATGTTGGCTTCTTCTATTACGGGTAGGTCGTATGTGTAGAGTAGTATAAGGCCCATGAAGCTGCCCTGTGGTACACCTGCCGTGCTTTCATAAAGTTCGGAGTCTTCCGTACCCTGTTTAACAAAAAAATAACGATTTTTCAGGTATGACTGCAGAAATACATAGGGCCGTTTCCACCATCTCTGGTTAACACTAATCCTCAGTTAAACATCGTTACCGGCGTTACTGACTCCATGCATACAACATTGTGTCTATAACGTCGGTAACGCTGTTTAACTGGGGATTAGTGTTAACCAGAGATGGTGAAAACGGCCCATAGTGGTTGATAGGGAGTGTGGTTTTTATTTTATGGAGTAATACTATGTTCACGCTGAAATTTTATCTCGAGTTTAACGATTTGAGTTTATGAACACCTGTCAAGTGTTCTCATTGGGGTGTCTAATAAACTCAGAGTTTAATTTGATATTTTCTTATTTACTTTTTCTTATTCACATTTAGCCTGTTCCCGTACTCCAGGATTTTTACAGAAATATTCCGAAGTAGCCGTAGTGTACCAACCGTTTAGCAATAAAGAAATCTAAAATGTAGCTAAATAGAACTTTTAATTCTGATTTTAACCATATCAAGACTCTTTGGCGCAAATAAAAACTAAAGCCAATAAAAGATGTTAAATTTTAACCTTATATTTTTTTTATTTTTAATATCTCTGAAACTATTTGACCGATCACAAACGTATAACTGCTAGTTTAAAGATAATTTAAATACATTTTATGCGACGTATACAGTATTACCTTTTTGAAAACAAGTTTTAAATAAACGCCCTTTTAAAGAAATATATATATATATATACAAACTTCGGTTATTAGGAATTTTTGCGTTAAAAATATAAAAAACAAAAAAAAATATGTACACCAAGTAAAATACCCCCTAATTACCTTTATTTTGACGTCATTAGTTTATTAATAGGTTATATTGTTCAGAAGATATTAATATTTAAAAAAATCGAATTTAACTTTAACCATGGATATCTTCTTTATTTTTTACTTCCTCCAAATAATAGTTCTATCGATCCACATTTTTTTTGTATAGCTAGATTGTTGATATTCTACACTTATGTGCACGGAACGGCCTCGGACTATTTAGGGTGGTTGCAGGTTTGGATTATCAAAGACACAAACTGAATTCGGTAAAAAAAGGTTGCATTCGCTTTAACTCCAAATAAAAGTGGTGTTTAAAGCGAGTTAAACGAAAATTATTTGTATGGCGAACTCCGAGTTTATGAGTAGTGTTTAATATACGTTCTCGTTGACCCACTAAATCGAGTTTATTGTTTTGAGTTTATGAACAACTGTCAAGTGTTCATATTGGGGCATTTAAGAAACTCTAGAGTTTAATTTGACATTTTTTTGTTTACTTTTTCTTATTCTCATTTAGTCTGTTCCCGTACTACAGTATTTAACACACACACATATATCTCTAGTAGAATACCAACCGTTTAGCTATAAAAAAAAAACAAGATATGAGGATCGATAGAACTTTTTACGCTCCTTTCAACTATACCAAAATTATTATTTTTTAAATAAAAACCAAAGCCGATAAAAGAGGCTAAAGCTCAACTTTTCAATTTCTTATGTGTTTAATATCTCGGAAATTAGTTAACCGATTAAAAAATTATTGATGCTAATTTCAACATAATTTAAATACCTTTTATGCGACGTATATACTATAACCAGTTTTAAAACTAATTTTATATAAACGCCATTTAAATAATATATTTGAATTTTTTTGTTTTTTTTCTAGTGTTTCCGGAATAAAACTATAAAAAAGTATATAAATTATATACATATATGAAATACAATTTAATGGGCTTTATTTTGACGTCAATAGTTTTTTAATAGGTTGTGTTGTTCAGAAGATATTACTATTAAAACAAATTTAACATTAACCATTGATATCTTCTTTATATTTGACTTCCGGCAGATAATTTTGGTAGGGTTGAAATCAGCACAAAAAGATCTATCGAGCCACATTTTTGGTATTTGCATAACTATATTGTTGATATTCAACACTTATGTGCACGGAACTCGGACTATTTCTGATAAAATCCTGCAGTACGGGAACAGACTAAGACCCAATTTCAGATGGCCTATTTAAGTAGAGATTGGTGATTAACTTCCACTATTCATTTTCAGATCATACATTTAATCTGCACTTAAATGGCCAATATTGGTTATTTAAATATGAGATATGCAACCCCGTGTTTGTACCAAACAACCAAGATTGATTGGTAGATTGTTTAATCAATCCCACCAAATCAAACCAAAAATCAATCAAAACAATTTCAAGGAACAAGCAGCAGTGCCGCCAACTGTTTGGCATATTTAAACAAAGTTGATCTGAAACCCAACGAAAGTTAAATGGCATTTAAACAACAATCCACAATTAAACTGAAGTGCCATTTATTTATTTATTTATTTATTTGGTCTACAGAAAAATGTTTTCTTACAGACAAATGAGAATAGAACATTTAGATA